TCCACCCTATCTATCTTAGTTGTCTTTACTTATCTTACTGCCAGGGAAATTCCTAGCTTCCTTCTTTATTATTGAATATTTCCATATTCCCCCATCCCATGCATTCATATTCTCCTTCACATTAAATATAAATCTTTATCCCTATTTTCTACCAGGCTGACCCTACCCAAACCTCAAGCCCTCTTCCTCAAGGATGACCCATAGTTGGCCCTAATGTATAGTAATCTCTCCTCCTCTGAGCTATACTTGCTATTTCTATAAAAATTTGTAATTCATTATACATTATGTGTAGCACTATGCAATATATATTTTGTGTGTGCGTATAACAATTATTATTTGCTCATCTATTCATGTATGTGTCTGGCTTATCTATCTATAGCATTCTCTGAAAGCTCACAGAATTAATGCCTCATGTATTATATCAATTTAGTACAGTGCTTGGCACAGTGCTAGTTTCAAATAGGCCCTTACCAATTGACTGACTAATCAATTAGCAAAATGGAAAATCCAGCCAGTATGCTCAAGCTTTGTCTATTGGAAATTACTTTCCTAAAAAGCATTTTTCCTTCCTTTACAGATCAATTGCAAAGTCAAAATTCAAACACTGCAAATTTCACAAACAGGAATAGCAGGTAAGTATTGGAAGCTTTACAAATAATGAATGTGCACATCAAAACCAAAGTTGCAGATGTTTGTAAAAGTATACACATGCAGCTCATGCAACTTATATGAGCAGAGATGGCTAAAAACGCTCACATCCCAGCCTAGGTAACGAATATAAGCTGACCCTAAGAGAGTCCAAGCTGACCCTGATAAAATCCAGCATAGTTGCATGGTTTCCAAATCACCAGAATATTTCTAGAGTATAGCCTAGCTTTGCCAATTGAGAAGGAACTACATACTTATTTTGGCAAAGCTCTCTTGTTTGCTGAACCTTCAGTCCTTTACAGCATCTATAAATGAAGGCAACCAAGTCTGTTTCATTAGGAGATAAACCCGCACATTATACATCTCTATAGTTGATAGTGCATAAAGGAGTGGAAATAAAAGCAATCTTTCTACCTTACTTATTCTAATCCAGCTTTCTTTGCAGAAGACCAACACTGAAAATAAGTATGGCTTATCTATGCTAATCAATTATATTTATAAGTCTCTTATAGGTTTGATTAGACCTCTTTAGAATTAAGGTCAAAAGGGTAAATGTTCAAATTGCATATAGCATAAGGCAGTAGACTGAAATTCTTTATATTATAAAATATATACCTGGCGCATAGAATTATTTTTCTAGAATAATTATGTTTACTCTAATTTGGGGCTTACTCTCTGACAGAAACTGTTCTAAGCACTTTAGATATACTTAGTTCTTCAGTCTTCAGAAGGGTCCCATGTTGTAGGTAAAATTGTCATCACCATTCTATACATGGCAAACTGAGATACAGAGTTTAAGTAAGTTTGGCAAGTGGAGAGTTCAGAGGCATAAAGATCACTCTGCATTAGTTTCTGGAGCCAGGAAGAAGCACATCTAGTATTTGAGCTGCAATAGTCTGGCTCCAGAATTGATGTTCTTAACCACTATACATACAACCTCTAAACAATTTGTAGGCTCTAATTGCGAGGTATGTGTAATGGTGAAAAGGACATATGTTTCACATTCACATATGCCTGGTTTAAATCTTAACTCTGCAATTTACTAGCTGTGTGGCCTTGGACAAATTATTTAACATCTCTGAACATCATGTTTTCCAACTCCATTGTGAGGATTTTGTAAATCTGTTGTATTTGCAATGGTCTGTATAATCCCTGAGCATAGTATATCACATGTGATAAGTAGTCAATAATTTACCAATATTATTATTCAAAAATAGCCTCAAATTGAATATCTTATAATATCTACATAATCCTCTATTAGTTCATGGTAAATTATTGAATGATTTTCAAATGGAGGTACATTTGGCCATAGTTCTTTGGGAAAAGACAGCATTGTAACTATATGTACCCTAATGAATATTATTTCAACATTAACAGTGCTCTTATCAGAATTATTACAAAATTCTGATACTTAACCTGTCAATCAAGGGTATTAAATCCAAGAGCTAGCTTTACTCCATTTCATATTATTAATAAATTCATTGCTTAACAGCTAAGTGAAAAAACAACCTAACTCTCTGACCTTCTATTTGTATCATCAGTAAAATGCATGACCACGTTGAACAAAATTTTATTGGCTTGAAAGTTATGCATGTTTTTTCAAAATCAGCAATAAATATTGATCTTACCCATTCCCTCAATAAGTCAATAGCAATGTTTCAATTTCTTGTTTGTTTTTCCCTTTTGTAAGAACGTCACATCTAATGAAGACCAATTTCCAAAGCTGAACCCCAGGGAGTGAATAATCTATCAAATACAACTACCTAAAAGAGAATACAGTTCTTTAAGTGGAAATAATACCTGGCTTTATGTAGTAAGTATGACCAAGCTTGGCAGAAGCAAATATTCAGCATTGAGGATTAAAGAATGTGATATCCACTGGTCATTGCTTGCACATCTATAGCTCATCCCCAGGCTAAAATGATGCTTCCATAAAGAACCTCCCCCATGACCCAAATCAGGATCCTTACTCTCTATATTTTAAAGCTTCTTTTATGCCACCGCACACCACAGCCAACGATCTTAGTTTCTCTAGCTTCTAGGAGCTCTTCCTCAAATAGCACAGCCATACTCATGACTGTGCCAAAATAGGGCTCACAGGCTTATTCTGAGGCAATGGGGTAAGGACAATTCCTCAGTCATTTGGCACAACACAGGCAGAGATAGGGATTTAAACCTTTGTTCTCTCTCCCCTTTCAGCAGCCATAGAACCACCAGAAGCCACTATGTCTTTCTCTTATTTAGAGGACCATGTGATTTGTCTATCTATAACAACTACACAATATATAGTAGACAATGAATGGTATGTTTTAGCTTGGTTATTTTACAAGCATTGTTATGTGTTCAGATATTCTGATCCAGAGCTGTTTCAGTGTACCCTTTGGTAAAGGGAACTAAATTAAGCAGGATTACTGCATCTCAGATTTTCAAGTAAGTACCAGGGAACTAAAACGAACTTTTGACAGCCTCCCAGACAATGGTGAAAGAGACTCGTTATGTATTGCTAGACACACAGGGATATGACTGAGAGAAGGGTGGGAATCACAAAGGGTCTCGAACTTAAACTTTTGATTCTCTGTTCAAAAGAGATTATGTACAGTCTCAGAGATACACTGACAGGATTAAAAGAAAACACGAATCACAGGGTCTTAAATTTGTGTTGTGTTGCATATGACTATACTTCCTAAAGTGCACTATGAATTGCTATTTTTCATAAATCCTCTAGTTAGCATGTGAACAGATCAATTACACCGCATTGTACTTTTGGCGTTAAAAGCATTATTTTAAAAAAATGCAAACATTTATAATATAGGAGAATCTGACAATCCTGTCTTGCATGTCTTCATCTGTTACTAGATTAGAATCCTGACATAACACAGTGGCTTAAACCCCTCTTTAGTGGAAAAGGTTCTGCAGTGGAAAGAAATTCACTGATTATCGAGTGTGATGTAATGTATAGTTTTACTGTGATCGTAAATCCATATTTAATAGTAATGATGATAGAAATTCACCTTTATTGGTATTGTACTAAGTAAGCACTATATAAAGTACTTTTAAAAGCACTGCCTCATTGAATCCTTTCAACAAGCATATGAGATAGGTACTGTTGTTTCATTTCACACACGAGAAAACAGAAGGTTAGAGAAGTTAAATCACTGCCCAAGTGGGTGGCACAGTTGGTTTGAATCTCACCAACTCCAAAGCCCAGGCTCCTCCCAGAGCACTCTAGCACACTATCTAGAATCATGCCTAGACTGCTTTCATTGGCTCTTTTGTTGTTATTTTTATTGTTTACTATTTCAAATTAATTTTATGCTTTAAATACAGGATTCTAAAACCAACTTTTTGTTCTATGAGGTTATTTTTTGAGTGTCGTTAAAACTAACAAGCTCTTTACTTATCTTTCCAGGTATCTCTTTTCTTCTTATTTCCCTGGCATTGCACAGCTCCTCAATTCTCTGTCCAGTTAACAGTGAATACAGCTTCCTCTTTACTTACTCTACTTTTCTCTCGCAAATTCTTTCCCAAGTGTCTTCCCAATCTGATTCCAGCTGCCTCGCCGGTACCTCCAGAAAGCCTCCCCCTTCCCCGCACTCTCCCTCCCCCCCGTCCTGTACTTCTGGGTCTGGCTGTGCTGGGACCTACAGGCATCTGCATCCCCACTTATCCTGACTACTGTGGTTACAGGGGCCTCTTCTGAATGCAGACAGCCAGTCAGCCAAGTCGAAATTTATACCAGAAATCTATTACCTAATTTTTAAACAAAATGACATGAAATCAGACTTGAAGATATCAAAAACATGTCTAGTTTTTGATTTAAGCAAGAAAATCCACATTGTTACTGTTTCCACCACAGAATAATTTACTGCAACAGGAGTTCTGGATCTTATGCCAGAAATGAGGTCCTCTAACCAATGTCAAGGCCAATTATCTTGTGGTGGATCCCACAACAAAAGCAGACTATTGTGATTAGAGTCAGAAGCACCACCCAGAGAAGTTGGAAAGCTTCTGGGGATTTCTTACGTTCAGTTTTTATTTTCTCATCCCAAGTGTCTGCTCAGATACACTACCAGGAACTTTGTGTGTGGGCACCAAGCGTCTTATGTTAGCTGGGGAGACAACGACAGAGGCGATGGGTTGGCAGTGACCTGCCGCAGGTCTGGATGTGAGCAGGAGCCATGCTGAAGGCTGTGTGCCTGCGACACTATGAAGGTGACCACAGTCAAGCCCCTTCGATAGGTCACAGCCTCCTCCCTCCCCTAACCTCCATCCCAAACAGGCTGCCGGGTAGCCATCCTGCGGTTTCTTGCTGGGAAGGGAAAGCCCAGGTGGCTACGTTCAGGAGCACTTACCCCACAGTAAAGAACTGCCTCATCTCCTGTCTCCGAGACCTCATCAGTTGCTTATACTCCCCAATCCGGAGCTTTTTGCCGTCAACAATGCAGGTGCGTTTCGGTCGAGGTTTGTATTTATAGTTCGGGTACTTCTCTAAGTGGATTTTGCTTAGCCGGGCCTGCTCTTCATAATAAGGTTGCTTCTCTTGGTTGGACATGGATTTCCAGCGAGACCCTGGACATAAAAATAACCTTAAGTGCCCAAATGGTGAAGGTAACATATTCCTGGCAAATACAACTAGGCATACCTCCCATCTGTGCTCTGACTGGCCCCTAGTACCACATACCCCTGAGCCGCACAGCTAGCCTGCTAGACTATAGAGCAAAGAATAATTTTATTTGATACATTATATTATTTCCCTCAATAACTTAAAGTAACTTAAAGATGGTGTTACAATAAGTGCATTGTTTTAAAACATGTCTTCGCTGTTTAAAGGTCATCTCCCACATCAAAGTCTCTCCCCCTCCCATCTGCCCCTCTCTCTCCAGAGGGTTACACACCTAATCTTGCCTCCTTTCAGTGTGACAGGGCTCTCAGGAGAAACATTCTTGGGTCCAAAACTCAAACCTCTCTCTCACTCCAAGCATCTCCAGCAAAGCGATCATTTGATGTCAGCAGATAGGCTATCCCTCCATATACCATAACCTCCTGTGCACACCGTCTCCCCTGGCCTAGGGTAATAAAAAAGCCTCAACTCTACTTAAGAAGTGATAGTTTTGCAGCCGGAAGGTACCATTGGGATTATATACACCATTTTCAAGTACTATAAACGTCCATTCAAAGCTGTCCCAATGAAAGTACAAAAATTTTTAATATGGTTTATACAGGAAGAAGCAAAAGTATTCACTCCTCTAATATTGTTTATAAAGAATTATCTAAACACTTGATGAAGAAGGGATGTGTTTTTTTACATGTATCAAATTGCATTTTTGTGTCTCGCTGGCAAATAAAGCGGTAACAGCTGTGCTGACTGGATGGGAGCTATTCTTCAGTGGAGATTTTTCATACATAAACAAATGTAAAAGTTGTACAAATATTCTCTGTAGCCAGCAATATCCTGGTCTGCTTTAATAGCCCATCCATCCCTGCTCCTTCCTGCTTGTTGTGAATGTTGGAAAGTCCGTGCAGGTAGCTCCTCAGTGTCCCCCTGACTTCTAGCAGCTTCGAACCCAGCTAACAGAGGATGCTTGGTGCTCTTGTGCTTAAAAGTTTACATTTTAATGAATACACTTACTATATTCTTAATAATTTTTTCAGAGAATGCACACCAATAATATAGATTCCCCACAGCTGCCAAAATGGAAACAGAGAAGTTCTGTGCCCATCTGGGAGCTTACTCATACTGCTGCTAAAATGGCCAAAAGAAAGAAAAAAAATTTTCAAAGTTAAATATCAAACTTTAAGTACAGAGGAAACCTTGGTTTTCTTTAGAATGTCTATTAATTAGAACAAACTTAATGTATGCACTGGGAGCATTTTGGTTTGAAAGGTATTTAAATTAGAAGGAATAATACCTCTATGCATATCTCTGAAACTCTAAAAATAAATTTAATTGTAACGACATTTACTATCCATTGCGAAATTCCAATGGAAAAATGGAAAAAAAAGGGGGGAAATTTGTATTTTAACATTTCACCACTATTTGATCTCATGTATGTTTTGAATTTTCTTAGAGGTCACTGCCTCAAAATGTCTCAGAATCAAGTTAAATTATTTATACAGTGACAAAACATGTGTATTTGTGTGTGTCCAGATCACTGATATTCACTCAGGTTAAATATTTATTGCTTTTGAACAAAACATTTAAAAAATGAAAACCACAGTTTAAGTCTCTAATGTTTTTCGGCTTCATTGCCGGCTCCCTTTGAGATTTTGTCACATCCTGACAGCTTAAATAGAACAGTGCCTTCTGTGTTTTTTCTTTTTAAAGAGGAAACATGTTGACTGTAATGCTGCGTGTTGAATAAAATATGTTCAATATGTTGAGCACAATAATTCCAAACTGTATAATCCGCACGAGGCAAGCTTTACACTAATAGAACAAGGCTTGAGTTTAATCCTGAGAAACGGGAGGATCACTCCGGCAATTCACCGCAAAATGGGCCTCTGCCCTGTGGTCTAATGTGTTCAGCTCGCTGCTATGAAATTTGAACTAGTCACATCGTATTAAAGTAAATGTAGTTTTATTTTACAGCTTCTAAAGTTATCATTAGAGGCACTGTTCTGCACTCCATGAACTTCACACAATGTGGGGGCTCACCCCCACATCTGTGATGAGTTCTTTCAGAGGGACATGTGAACAAGAATACAACAGCCTAAAACTGTAGGCTCTAAACGTGTTTCTAAGTTTCATAGCCACTTAGGAATTTAAGAAGACTGAGTAAGAAGAGGAGATAAAGCTTGTCTCCATGACTGCTGTGTAGCAGTGACCACTCAGAGTTGCCAAATTCATAGTATTAACACATCCTAGAAATAGTTTTGTCTCTAAAAGACGTTTTTAGTCAGTCCTGCCCTGGCACCCTGTGGATGTCAGAACTCCCAAAGCTAAATGCCACTTTCTGGGGCAGGGGACGCAGAGGTGGTGACAAAGTCTCTCATGGTAGCTTGCTGGGCTATATCTAACTTCTGCAAACCAGTCTCCCTTAGGTATCAAATGGTGCCCCTGCTTTCCATTCTTGGGACACTCATGGGGTAGAAGGTCAGCCTCAGCGGCTGCACTCACCTAAAATTTTGCTAATGTTGGAGTTATGCATGTCGGGGAAGGCCTGAAGAATTTTCCTCCTCTCGTCCTTCGCCCAAACCATGAATGCATTCATTGGTCGCTTGATGTGTGGCTCGCTGCTGGCCCGGCCACGGGCATCCCTGTAGACTCGTGCTTCAGCCACAGTGGCACCTCCTGTTGGCCAACAATAATACTGCTGTAGTTTAGCTGCAGAGCCATTCATTGCTTTACTTCCTGTAATGTCAGGGCAGGAAGAACAAGACGGGTGCAAAGCATTATTATCTGGATCATGTAACACAGCTTGCTGCCTGGTTCAGCTGCCTTCCCTAGGCCCTTCTCTTCCTTTTAAGGGACCTCTCGGACGCAGAAGACAGTTTCAAATGACAATTCACAGGCCCTTCTGACATAGGCCTCAGAGACACACTGGGCAGCATGAATGGTGCATGTTTTTATACGCCTAGTACATTTTTTAAAACAATCAGTTGCAAGTGATGATGAAGTAATGACGGGCATTATTTTATGCTAAACTTTCCTGATGACATTCCTCTCTTTGAAAGCAGACCCTTACCTATCATTTTAGCCTCATTTGCCAGAAATTGAAGCCACTTCAAACTGTCTCTTTCCCTCCAGTAGAATCTCTTTCACAAAATTGGGCCTTGGCCAGTGGTCTTCTCAGTGCCTGGAAAGAAGCCCCTTCTCCCACTCTTCACACTAAGTCCCATTCTTCCCTCAAGGCCTGTTCAAATGTGGTGTGTTTCATGAATTAATTAAGTCAATAAAAATATTAATTGAGCCATTACTGTGAGTTAGGTTTTAGGCCAGGTGCTAGGGATACAAAGGTGAATAAAATAGCCCCTGCTTTTAAGTAGCTCACAGTTCCGTGGGGCGACAGACCCCAAGAGACAATCGTCACGGCGTATAAGGTAAGTGCTTATAACACTGAAGTAAACAGGGTTCCGAGAGGGCACCGGACAGGACAGCCAGCTAGTACCCTAGGAGAGGTCCTATCTAAGCTGAGTCCTGGAGGATGAGTAAGAATTAGCATGTGAGCTAAGACAGATGGGAAGGGACAGGAACAGCATCTGTAATGATGCCTCCAGGCTGCATTCATTTTGTGGCCTCTATGCTATATGCTTCAAAGTTATTACTGTCTGTGTGACTATCTCTCTCTAATTTTTCTACTCCATCCCCAGGAATATGAGACCCCTAAAGCTGGTGTTTATGTTTACTCCCTCTTGTATCCCAGGATTTCCCACATAGTATATCTTCATTTAATGTAAAAGATTGTTTAGTCTTCAACTCACATGCAAAAGTAGTAGACTAAAGGCATGCATTCCAAGGGTCCTGATATATCTTCCTGCTGTTTAAGGGTAGTTCTTTAACATCCCCTACAAAACTGTGTCTAAATTCCTGACATTAGTTATAGTTTCCGAAAAGGTGAGTCTAGTAACACCCTAGATTGAAAGCTCCTTGAGGATATGGCAGGAACCGGCCTGGGTCCCAGTAAAGCACCTAGCATGTAGAGTTTCAATTAGTAACGTGTGGTAAATTAGTGAATGACTGAATAAATCAATGGAATGAGTGAACATAGCTCCCGCTTGCTTCCATGCACCAGCATGACACACTGATGCATGTTTCACAATGTGTCAATGACGAAACATCTCCCTGTAGATTGAGAGCTTCTCTAGTTAAATGTAGTGTTGGACAGACAGACGGCAAGCCAGCACTTCTACTGTATAAAGCAGAAAACCTACTCCCCAAAGCTTAGAAGCAAAATATACATTAAAACCAACATTTTTACTTTCTGGACAAAGTAAATCCTTTCAGCTCAGTGGACTGATTATACAGGAACAACAGGACTCAATCAATCCCTGGCCCATCTCCTCCATTTCCAGATACCTTGATTGTGCAGAAATTCGTTTGTGTCGGATATAGGAATAAATCAGAACAATAAAGTACACTATTATTTGGCAAATATGGCCATCGTTTGTTGCAAACAAAAGACAGGATAAAAGGGCCAAACTGGATGATAGTGTTAATTCTTTTCCAAACATGAAGGCGGGCAGAGGGGCCACTTTCTGAGGACCCTGCAAACAAAACCATTTTATAAACAGGCCTTCTTTTAGGCCTACTAGACAGAATGATCCCTTACATGAAAAGACTCAGATCCCAAGATGCATAACTAATATGCTACCTTTTTGCCACCATACCCACAGTACATTAATTTCATTTAAAATGCACTGACCATACAGGATAAATTGATTTCACTTTATATGGGTTTGACAGCCATGTTTATTGTGCAGTGAAATGTAGTGTAGCTTCCAGCTGACAATATCCATCAACACGGGGCAATATGCTGACTGCTGGGCCAGATGAAGGCATACATTACTCTGGCAGTGAAACACTCATTCAGACACGACAGTGTCTTCTCCTGAGGATCACTCCAGTAATTTATGATGCCCTCCGTGCCATTACTTTACAACTGACATGGATGCAGCAATTTATATACTTGCATGCATACACATAAAAGAAGACGGGCTTGTGGAGAATGCCATATGCAAAGACATTTCAATATTATTCTAAGTTAGTTACTATGCCACAGGTGATTGACATTGGAGATTTGCTCTTATTGTCATAGCTTTCTCTCCACCTCCAACAAACCTAAAATAGCCAGCTTTTATTCATTTAAAAGATGTATTTTCATTGTGAATAGGATGTTTTAATCTCCTACAACCTAACAGGGACCATGGTGGATTTTTAGATTCTGTTTCAGTAGATCTTCTATTCCAGATCAATTGATTCTCCCAGACACATCACACATATGCCCCATCTCTCCCCGTCTCAGTCCATTCCACACTCGTAGCATATCCTTTCCACTCTCTTTTATCTTACTAACCTTTACCTTTTTCCAAGGAAGAGGGTTCAGGTTTTACCCCATCAACTGCCATCCACTGACCTTGCCTCTTTCTCCCATAGTACATTTTGTCTCATGACACTGACACTGGATTAATTACACAGCAGATTTCTATGAGTCACAGGACTGCTCTAGGAAATTAAGAAATCCAAGCATGGTACAGAGTATAAAATACAAATTAGGAAAGATAAAATAGAAAATGCTCTGTCATGCACACTTCTCTTTTTTCTTGTCTCCTCTCTTCCAAGGGGAGTAAACTGAAAAAAGGAATGGGGCACCCTAAGGAAAACTAGGAATGTTGTGTCTATGAACCAAGATTTGTAAAGAAGAAGAGACTTACCCTGGGAAATCATTTTTAAACTGAACATCTGATCAGAATCAGAATTTTAGGAAAGTATTAAGAGGCCTCAAAATCAAAAGAATATTTAGAAAGTGTCCTTTAATTTCCCCAAACTTTGCTTTATGAAACAGAATGGTTAGAGAATAATTGTTGCAACAATAGAAATACATATTAAATTCAGAAATTTAAAAATGGATTCTATGAAAGCCCTGTTAAACACATAACGAAAATTCTATAGAACACTAAAAGATTGTTTTCAAAAGGTATGCTATTAGTCTGAATATTTAAAGCCTAAAATCCATGTTCTGTTCTAATTAACTTTAAATCTACATATCAAGTGTGACTTCATATTGCTTCATTCATTTTTGAAAATAACATCAAGGTGTTTTTTGGGTGTTTTTTTTTAAAGCCACTTTATCCTGAAATAGCCAATGCTCTGTGTCAGAATCCGGAATTGTCCTAGGGAATGTCTCACAATCTATAAGGCAGCTTCTTTTACTTTTTCTAGCAGAGGATCATTTATTCATGTTGTGTCTTCTCAAGGAAAACATTTGGAAGAAGCTTAGAACCACAGCTATGTACCTGGACTACTGCTTTCCAGCTGATCCAAGAGTCTTTAATTATCAACAAAAGCATTCCTAAATGACAGTTGCTGAAAGGCCAGAGGTCAACAGAACCACCTTAGGCACACTGGTCCCCTGTACTCCCAGCATTCCTGCTCGCTCCAACTTCACCGAGGGGCTTGGATTGATTAATTCACCCTTCATCTCCCATATCACAGTTTGTGTAAAGGCAAACTTTCAGTTAGATAAAGAAAGATTGTGTATGGGGAGAAAATAGAAATTATAAAGGAAAAGACTTCCTTAGGAATCTGAGATTTAAATGATTTAAAGAGAAGACAGAAAGTTGAGTTTTTCCAGGTGGGTTGGAAAGAGGGCCAGTTTAACCACCATAGCCTATGGCAATGGTCCTAAACTAATTCTAGAGAGGCCCCTTTCCTGGGTAAATTCCAAGAGTTATGTGAGTGAATGAGTAAGTGTTTGGTGTGTGCTTTTGTATACATAAAGTTCTCACTAAGGAGGAGCTTTAGCTAGTTCTATAATGTGCCTGGTAATCATTTATGCATGCATTAATTCAGCAAACACTTCTGACACATTTTTAGGTGTACCCAGCATTGTGATCAGGTATTCAAAGAACAACAACACATGTGCCTTGCTTTTAAAAAATTTGGTCCCATGAGGAAAACAGACACATAAAGAAAAAAATTACAAAACAGTATAAGTACTAACGAAGGTAATTTTAATATACTGTGACAGCAGATAAGTGACTCTATGAATGATATTGGAATGGACAGAGATGTATATCAGGAAGCTTCAAAGAGGAATTGGTGCTTGAAAGCATCTTAAAGGAAGAGTAAGATTTTACCAACAGGTATGGGTGTAAAAGCACTCCTGGCTGGAGAATCAGCATGAATGAAGGCACAGAATTATAGTGAAAGCATAGTAGGTTATGGGGAATAAAAAGAAGCTGGCTATGGCTTGGGCTTATAGAGAAAATAGAAGAATATTAAGAAATGAAATTAGGAAAGTAAGCAGGGGCCAGATTGCTAAATATCCTTGAATGCCAAGCCAAGAATTGTTTAAGGTAATTAAGCAGGCATGAACAAATATATTCTAGAAGAGATCAAAATGAAAACATAATGAGCAATTACCACTGAATGGTCTCAATGATCACTAGTAAAATAAGGAATAGAGAAAAATAAGGAGAATAAATACCACACAAGCCCATTACAACTTACACTTTGTCAGACAGAATGTGATCTATGCAAAATGTTGGCACAAAAGATTCTCTTCTGGGATCTAGTTCTGGTAATGGCAGAATAGCTTATGTCAGACTAACCCTCAAGCAGATATTAATTACAAACTCTGGAAAAAAAATATGAAAGAGCAACCATTCGAAGTCATTGGAGATTTACCAAAA